GGGCCTCCCTAACCTGCTCCAAAGAAAATAAATACTCAGACAAAATCCTTTGTTGTGAGGTTGATTAATTTGATGTTTTGTTCACGGCTGCATCTAGGAAGGTGTTTGGCACGGAGAAGCTCTGATGGACCTGGGCTTGGTGAAGCGAGGCAGGAAGGAGCCAGCGTTCTCAAAGTGTTGGGCAAGTCGCAGGGGAGGCGCCCCAGCAACAGACCCGCAGGGATTACCTTTCCCACGTGGGAAAGGCTGCTATGCGGATTAAACAAGATAATGTATATGAAAATCCTGGCTGCTTCATACATAACCCAGGTTCAAAATCCGGGAGGAGGGAAGCTGACGTGGGGGTTGAGATGGGAGGAGGTTGTGATCGGAGTCACAGAGGGGCCCCCTGGGGACAGCCCCAAGGGAAAGCTCCAGGGGTCTTCCAGGAAGCCCCGACTGGTGCCAGCAGAGCTGACACTCCTGCCCCACCCGGCCGGCCAGCAGGAATTTGCCCCGTGACCTCCCCTGGCAAGCTGCTGTCACCATGGCGACCAGCCACGAAACAAGCAGCCCGATTGTCCCTGCTCAGCGGGGCAGGTGAAACCCTGGCCACGTGACCGATACTGGGCCAGGTGCGGTTACGGGACTCCCGCCACCTCCCCTCCTTAACCCATTCAGCGCCACGGCCACCTAGCCGCAGGCCGCACCCCTTTGGCCCTGGGTCCCCACAGCCTGAAGGGTGGTGACAAAATACATGGAGAACTGTGTTAGGAGTCAGTGAATGAAAAAATCCGGGCCATGCACCGGCTGAATGACGTGGAGCTGGGTTACTTCACCGTCCTAGCCTCTCTTTCCTCATCAGGAAAATAAGGACGGCACCCTCCCACTTCACAGGAAGGCTGGGAACACAGACCGGGAAGTGTAGACTCTACCTCCAAAGAGTGATCGTCTCTCTCACCTCCCACCTTCAACTCTGCATGTTGGGGGCTCTGGAAGGCCTCCCCTCTGGCCTCCCCCAGAGGGAGTGCCCTCCTCCAGTTTGGAGGTCTAGGCAGTCCCCAGGATGACGCCACCCCCAGATCCCTTGCCAGGTAGCAACGACCCCTCCCCTGTCCCCACCACTTTCTCTGGAATGTTCAAGTGGAAACCTCAGACCAACTGGTTTTTCTGCTTACCTTCACCAGCCACCTGATGAGGGCTGGGGCCCGGGACTCTGAGTAAATGTCTCAAGGCTTCTTCTGCCCCAGACGTGGGGCTCGAGGGCCAGGCTCAGATTATCTGGTGGAGGGCGGGGTGTGTGGCAGGGAGCAGTTTGAAAGCACCTTCTGAGGCCTGCCATGGTGGCTCATGCCTGTAATACCAGCACTTTGGGAGGTCAAAGCGGGAGGATCACCTGAGGTCAGGAGTTCAAGACTAGCCTGGCCATGAAACCTTGTCTCTACTAAAAATACAAAAATTAGCCAGGCATGCTGGCGCACACATGTAATCCCAGCTACTTAGGAGGCTGAGGCAGGAGAATCGCTTGAACCCGGGAGATGGAGTGAGCTGAGACCGTGACACTGGACTCCAGCCTGGGCAACAGAGAGAGACTCTGTCTCCAAAAAACAAAAAACAAAAAACAAACAAAAAAAAAGTTTCCTATTATCTCAGTGTTAAAAAAAAAAAAAAAATACTAATCTTCTGAATCTTCAACCCCCATGCCTTTCATCCACCAACTCTAGAAAAACACTCTCTAAGGACCCCTCCCAGGCCTGGGACCAGCCCCCATCAGGGGCTCAGATGTCCTCATCACTCCCCTAATAACTGTGCGGGGAACCAAATTGATCATACCACCTGGTGTGCTTAGAGTCCCCGGTGACCTCAGCCCTCCTCAGATTAGAACAAAACACCTAGAGTCCCACTAGGCAGGAGATGGAGCTTTACAGAGTTAGAAAGCATCCTCAGCCCAGCCAACATGGTGAAACCCCATATCTACCAAAAACAGAAAAAAATTAGCTGGGCGTGGTGGTGGGTGTCTGTACTCCCAGCTACTTGGGAGGCTGAGGCATGAGAATTGCTTGAACCTGGGAGGCAGAGGTTGCAGTGAGCCGGATTCCAGCCTGGACAACAGAGCCAGACTCTGTCTCAAAAATAATAATAATAATAAATAAAAAAAAAAAAGTTAGGCCGGGCACGGTGGCTCACGCCTGTGATCCCAGCACTTTGGGAGGCCGAGGCGGGCAGATCACGAGGTCAAGAAATCGAGACCATCCTGGCTAACATGGTGAAACACCGTCTCTACTAAAAATACAAAAATTAGCTGGGCGTGGTGGTGCGCGCCTGTAGTCCCAGCTACTCAGGAGGCTGAGGCAGGAGAATCGCTTGAACCTGGGAGGTGGAGGCTGCTGTGCATGGAAATCATGCCACTGCACTCCAGCCTGGCAACAGAGCAAAACTGCGTCAAAAAAAAAAAAAAACATTAGGACTCATCCTGTGGATCCCTAAGGAGGTGGGGGAGGGGCCAGTGTCAGACTGGGTGTCATCTCGGGGAGGGCCCCCAGCCACCCGCAAAACTTTCACCTAAGCATTTACCAGCACCCTGAAGCTCTCGATGACTGTCACCACTTTGCACCAGGTGAACAAGAAGTAGCTCCCGTTGTGGACACACGCCGGGAGGGCCGCCTCTGTAACACCACACAGTAGCCTCTGAGAAATGCTTTGAGAACAGAGGGTGGAAGAGATTAGTTTTAACTCAAGAAATCTGGGAAGGCTTGAGGAGGAGCCTTAAAAGACCAGTAGTGAGGCCGGGCATGATGGCACACACCTGTGGTTCCATCTGCCCAGGGTGCTGAAGCGGCAGGATCACTTGAGTCTGGGAGTTCCAGACCAGCCTGAAGCTATCCCCTTACTATGCCTGGAACATAGCAAGACCCTATCTCTACAAAAATAGAAAAAAAATAGCCAGACATGGTGGTGCACATCTGTGGTCCCAGCTACTCGGGAAGCAGAGGCAGGAGGATTGCTTGGGGCTGGGAGGAAGAGGTTGCAGTGAGCTGTGATTTTGCCACTGCACTCTAGCCTGGGTGATGCAGGCTCAAAAAAAAAAACAAAAAAACCAGGTGTGGTGGCTCACGCCTGTAATCCCAGCACTTTGGGAGGCTGAGGTGGGCAGGCAGAACACCTGAGGTCGGTAGTTCCAGACCAAACTGACCGATATGGAGAAACCCCATCTCTACTAAAAGTACAAAATTAGCTGGGTGTGGTGGTGCATGCCTGTAATCCCAGCTACTCATTGGGCTGAGTCAGGAGAATCACTTGAACCTGGGAGGTGAAGGTCGAGGTGAGCCGTGATTGCACCATTTCACTCCAGCCTGGGCAACAAGAGCAAATCTCAGTCTCAAAAAAACAAAACACAACAAAACGAAAAAACAACCCATATACCTGAGACTGAAGGGTCGCTGGAGGCCAGGAGCTGGAGACCAGCTTGAGTCAGGTTAGCAAGACCCCTTCTCTCAAAAAAATTTTGTTGGGCCAGGTGTGGTGGTTCAGGCCTGTAATCTCAGCACTTTGAGCCCAGGAGTTCAAGACCAGCCTACAACATAGCGATACCCTGACTCTATTTAAAAAAAAAAAAAAAAAAATTTTTTTTTGAGATGGAGTCTCTCTCTGTCACTGAGACAGGAGTGCAGTGGCAAGATCTCAGCTTGAGGAAGGAGACCCTTAATCCTCTTAAGCTTCAAAGAGCCCTTCCCCCTAGCTTGGTGTTCAAGAGGTTTGTTTTGCGGCCTTTCCTGCTACAGGCTCACTGCAATCTCCATCTCCTCAGGTTCAGGAGATTCTCCTGCCTCACCCTCCCGAGTAGCTGGGGCTAGGCCATGCCACCACGCCTGGGGATTTTTTTTTTCTTTTTTGAGACGGAGTGTCTTTCCGTCCAGCGGCTGGAGTGTAATGGTGAGATTTCGGCTCACTGAAACCTCTGCCTCCTGAGTTCAAACGATTCTCCTGCCTTAGCCTCCTGAGTAGCTGGGATTACAGAAGCCCACAACCACACCCGGGTAATTTTTGTATTTTTAGGAGAGACTGGGTTTCACCATGTTGTCAGGGTGGTCTCAAACTCCTGGCCTCAAGTGATCCACCTGCCTCGGCCTCCCAAAGTGCAGGGATTACAGGTGTGAGCCACCTCTCCCGGCCTAAAAAAAATTTTTTAACAATGATTCTGTTAAAAAAAAAAAAAAACAAAAACTTTAGTCTGTGTGCGTGTAGTCCCAGATACTCAGGAGGTAAAGGCAGGAGGATAGCTTGTGCGAAGAGATCGAGGCTGCAGTGAGCTACGATTGCGCCATTGCACTCTGGCCTGGGCGAGGGTGAGACCCTCCCTCAAAACATGTATAGGACCGGGCAACTGGCTATCTGGAAGACAGCACCCCAGCAGGGAGGAGGTAGGGCGTGAAGACCTAAAGGCAGGATGTGTGATAGGAGAGTACGAGAATGGGGGGTTGTGGGCGGAAAAGCAGGTGGGATCAGACTCGGGGAGGCTTCCCCAAATGTAAAGGGGACAGAGGGGGTTGGGGGAGAGCTCTAGAGTGCCCCCGAGCTCTTTCTAGATCGATGACTCCAGGATGGAAGTACTGCCCCGGCCCCCAGCAGTGGAGCACGGCGCCACCACGCTGGCGCTCCGCCGCCCAGAGCCACCCTGGCGCCGCCCTCCAGCGCCGCCGGCACAGAAAGGATGGCAGCCACCCAGGTCAGTGAGTGAGGGCAGGTGCAGGGCCGGAAGCGAGCCCCAAGCCGCAGCCCAGAGGGGCGGGGCTTCGCGAGGGGCGGGGCTTCGCGAGGGGCGGGGCAAGCGCCTTGGGTGGCCCGCCTAGGGCGTGGCCAGGTGCGGCGCTCAGGGCGACGGGCGCCAGGGCTGCGGGAATTACGTAATGGCGTAAGGGGCGGGACTGGAGGCGGGGCCAGACTGTTCTCGGGGATTACGTAAGGAAACGAGATCGAGGGCGGGGAATCCCGCGATGAGGGCGGGAAGAGGGCGGGGCTCCAGCCGGAACTGGGCGGGGTTCCGAGCTTGGGCGGGAGGAGGAGCGTGGGCAGGACTAACCCCACGAAGTGCACGCCGGACACCGGCTTGCAACCATGCTCCGCTGGACCCGAGCCTGGAGGCTCCCCCATGGGGGGCTCGGCTTCTCCAGTCCTAGCTTCACGAGGGTGCCCGTCGCACCCAGCAGCAGCGGAGGCCGAGGGGGCGCCGAGCCGAGGTCAGTCAAGGGCACCGAGCCGGAGGCATCCTCTGTCCTCCTTTTCCCGCCTTCCCGCCGGGCCCCAAAGGCCCCACCTCCTCCCCTTGGGCCCGCCCCCTCCCAGGCCTCTCCCGCAAAGCCCTTCTCTCCCTCTCCTACCCGCCCCCCCCGCCGCTCCGCCAGCTCAGCCCCCGATCCTTGCCCCGCCAGGCCGCTGCCGCTGTCCTACAGGCTTCTGGACGGGGAGGCAGCCCTCCCAGCCGTCGTGTTTCTGCACGGGCTTTTCGGCAGCAAAACTAACTTCAACTCCATCGCTAAGGCCTTGGCCCAGCAGACAGGCCGGAGGGTACGCTTCCGAGTGGGCGGGGCTCCTGTGGGGAGGGGCGGGAGTGGGCGGGGCCTGGAAGGAGGCGGGGCGGGGCCCGCTTCTCACGCTCACTTCCGGATCCATCATGCAGTGTAGCCCTGAATGGCAACCCCATTCATTCCCTCACGTTGCCATCTTCATTAATTCATGTTGTAGATCTCCGTCGGCGCTAGCCAATGCCTAGGCGCCTGCACCCTTCCCATGAAGGAGCCAGCCCCTGCTTGTTCACCAGGGATGACAGGAGCTCACCACCTCTTATGGCAGCCCATTCTTCTGTGCAACGACTGTTGGAAATTTCTTGGAGTCTCCCCCCTAGCATTCTCCAGAATGGCCACCCAGCCAGGCCAGCCCTTCAAAGATGTGGTCACAACCCTGGGGCCTGCTATTCTTTGGCAGAGTGGCCCCAGGTTCTTCATCTGGACCTCCTAGGTGTGGAAACTGGGCCCTCCCACCATCTGGAGGGTGTATCTTCATACCCCTCGACCTGCTGTCCCTATGCGGCCTTTTGCTCTCTACCCCTAGAATGTGGATACCAATGCAGCCCCGTCTCACCCCTCTCCCCAGGTGCTGACGGTGGATGCTCGTAACCATGGTGACAGCCCCCACAGCCCGGACATGAGCTATGAGATCATGAGCCAAGACCTGCAGGACCTCCTGCCCCAGCTGGGCCTGGCACCCTGTGTCATCGTTGGCCACAGCATGGGAGGGAAGACAGCCATGCTGCTGGCACTACAGAGGGTGAGCTGCCCCTGTTCAATATATACCCTGGGTTCCCCACAGCCAACCGGGCACTCAAACGAGCCTTGGATGATCAAGTTCAGGCTCCAGGAGCTGTGCCTGAGACTCACTGTGTCTGCCCTAAGACTGATCCCAGTTCAGTTCTCTCCCACAGCCAGATCTGGTGGAACGCCTGATTGCTGTAGATATCAGCCCAGTGGAAACCACAGGCATCTCCAACTTTGCAACCTATGTGACAGCCATGAGGACCATCAACATCCCAGATGAGCTGCCCCGCTCCCATGCCCGAAAACTGGCTGATGAACAGCTTAGTTCTGTCGTCCAGGTGATACACCCAAGCCCCCCCACAACACATGGTATTGTAGACCCGGGACCTGTCAAGGGAAGAGTGGTACCCCCAGACCACACAAGGACCCCCCCCAATTACTGGACCCCCACAGGACATGGCCGTGCGGCAGTTCCTGCTCACTAACCTGGTGGAGGTAGATGGGCGCTTCGTGTGGAGGGTGAACTTGAATGCCCTGACCCAGCACCTAGACAAGATCTTGGCCTTCCCACAGAGGCAGGAGTCTTACCTTGGGCCAACGCTCTTTCTCTGTGGTGGAAACTCCCAATTCGTGCAGTAAGCCAGCCTGGGTAGTGGGAGGGGCATGCTTTATTCACCCAGCCCCCAGTCTGGGGACCCTACCAGGGGAGGCCTTGGGTGTGGAAAGGGGGTGGCTGAGAGACCAGAAATACCACCAGACATGTGGGCTCACACAGCCCTGTCCATTTCTCCCCACTCTGCTTCCGCTTGTCTCTTTCTCTCCTCCTTCTCCCATGTTCACCCCTTCTTGATGGTCTTTGCTGCAACGCACAGTCCCAGCCACCACCCTGAGATTATGCGGCTCTTCCCTCGGGCCCAGATGCAGACGGTGCCTAACGCTGGCCACTGGATCCATGCTGACCGCCCACAGGACTTCATAGCTGCCATCCGAGGCTTCCTGGTCTGAGTTGCTGGCAAGAAGCGGGGCTGGCGCAGTGGCTTATGCCTGTAATCCCAGCACTTTGGGAGGCCGAGACAGGAGGATCACTTGAGGCCAGGAGTTCGAGACCAGCCTGGCCAACATGGTGAAACTCCATCTCTACTAAAAATGCAAAAATTAGCCTGGCATGGTGGTGCACACCTGTAATCCAAGCTACTCGGGAGTCTGAGACAGGGGAATCACTTGAACCCAGGAG